TTAAGAATTGCAGAAAATGAATACAAGAAAATAAGCATTTTGATATATAATTTTTTCTACAATTAACTGCTCATGAGATACAGAGTGTGACAGACAGATGCAGTGAGTGGTTATGTTCTTTCTCAGTATAGTTATGAACCTGATTAGAAAACCTTATTTCACTGAATGTTAAATTCATGTATTTGTTTGTGATGCCAACTGTAGTAATAGATTGGATTACAGATAGTGGGATACTATATTATGATAGTTTGGTTACTGTTATTTGTGGCAGTCTAAAGTAACATTAGTGTAAAAGACAGCACATATACTAACCCTGGCTAAAATGTTTTAGCTTCCCAGAATTATTTTGTAAAACTGAAGAAAGTTTAGTTAACTAGCTTCCAAATGACAGCACATTAAGATAACTATAGTTAGTAGAGGTACCATGGCAATGGTGCAAGAGCCAAAAGTAGTCTGTCTAATGCCTCCAGTATATATGACAATATGCAACCTTAATATATATATGCGTGTACGTTTGTGGCATTACATACATATGTGGATGTTATATAAAGTCACTAATAAATTAATTATACATGGAATACAACTGCCAAGCAACATATGAAGGAAAATTAAAGATTTGATATGAATACTAAGGTATTGAATTATCAAGTAAACTGTGACTTCTAACTTGTGAAGCATTAGAGGAAGATACAGTGCATCCAATATTTGTATTAAGGCTGGTGGAAAAATATTTTCAGTTTTGGCATTGAAATATTCAGCAGGTAGTGGATTTTTCATTGAAGAGATAAAAATAATGGATGAGCTCACACTATATTTGGAAGAAAACGTGGTTTTATCCACAGTCTTCGGTATTAGTAGTGAAGAATAATTTAGATTAGATTTAATCAAAATACTTATAACTGTGTAAAATAACCTGTAGAAAGTGAAATCCACAGACAGTAGTTTATCTGTATATCAGATGTTAACTTGATATACTCATTGTTTTATTTATAATGATTTAATATTTTCATTTGTTGAAATCGAAATATTTTATAAATGCAGTATCAGAGAATATTTGCTTAACACTTGTTTCAGTACAAAGTGCATGATAGTTCAGACTGGATATATAACCAGTGACAGAAGGTAACATCCATGTATTGTTGCTTTGAAGTTGCTCCTACCTGTACTTAAGTCAAGTGGAAGTGAGATAGGTATACTAATGGATTCCTATGGCTAGAAACTAGCCTTACTTACTGTTTTACCTCTTCTATTCTTCACTGAATCCAGACGCTGTTTGAATAACAACAAGAGAGGTGCATATGGAATGCATGTGGGTTTCAGGTAAATGTGTTATGTGTTGTAGTGGCAGTGATAACATTGCGCAGCAGAGTTGTATGTTGGTCAAGTGTGGGACCCCACTGAAGCCTGGTGGTCATATGGAACATTCACGGATGCAAGAGATACATATACTACTGACAATATACACGCGAGTATCCATTTGCTTTAGAAATTACATTTGAACAAAGCAATAGTTTTAACACCCTGTATCTAAAAGTTGCTTTTACAACAGATAGTAGACGTAGCTGGATCATACAACATTGAAACTTACACTTCTAGCTGAACTTCTGACAAGTCAAAATCCGGTTGACTACCCATTTCAATTCCTGCTCAGAAGAATGACAGAAAATCAAGGCTGATCTTTCACAGACCTGGAAGAGCCTGGATAAGGCAAAATAAATTATCTGACAGACCACCACTGCAAAGCATATGCCAACGACCACCTTGAAAGGTTTGCTGTTGGAATTCCATTGGCTCAGGGTCAATAGCAAACTTTGTGCATTCTCTGTCCATTTAATCTAATTTTCCATTGATAACGCTGTAATTATACTTTTAAAATTCAATTCGATTCTACAGCAGAAAAATTGAAACATAATCCTTCTTCATCAGAAGTACATCAGACGTTATTTCCTGTTCGTCTTATGATTTTGTGTATGAATGCTTTATATAATAGAAATTAAAACATTGTCCTTCTTTACCAGATAACATCAGAGTTGTCATCACTCTTCACCTTGTGATTCTGTGCACGAGTATTTCATGGAATATAAATTAAAACATTATCCTGTTTTGTCAATAACTCAAACGTAACTATTAAGTATTTGTTCCACACATAATATACATATGACTTGATGGTTATCATTAATTCAATGGTTGTGATATAATTTTATTGAAGGGATTTTTATTATGTACTAGCGTAAAAGCCATCAAAAATGACGGGAAACCACTGGAAACCAAAACTAGTGTGTAGAAAATTGGCAGTGCATAAAAATAAATGCAATATGAAATTTTTATTTCCAGGAACATGCTACATATTGCTTCTGAATCCACTGTATATAACTGAGCAAATATGTTACATACTGGTGTCTTTGGATAAAACATACGATGCCCATGTGATTGCGTACACACCTGTGCTTCTTTTGAGGCAAAGCTGTCCTCTTTCCTACAGATAATTGGTATCTTCAGTCTGTTTTAACAAAGGTTTTTTTTTCGTAATAATTCCCAAGAGTAGATTTGCATTAATTTTTTACTTGTTTTTCACAGGCGTCGATAGGGTGTGAATGCACTTCCGTGTCTTCGATGACAGGAGTCTTCCCGAATTTCCTATTCGGATCCTACCTAACCTAACGTCATAATTATGTGGATGATATTGTATCACACACATAACAGCATGCCTGATTTGGTCCTAGGAAGTTCCTCCTTGACAAGCTTTTATATAGCAGAAAAAAAGTGCCGACATTTAGGAGCTATTTATGCCTATGTTAGCGATTAAATTCAACTAAAATGGGAATGAGCAACCAAAAGAGGAAGTATTATAAAAGTGGAATTGGACTCGTGTAATTCACGAAATTCGGGGAAATCGAGCGTGACCGACTGCTTGATCGACCGACCAATGATTTTATGATTATGATAATTAAATGAGATCATTTTTAAAGTGTTTTTTGATACTCATTTCCTTTTTTTGTTGTTGTTGTTGAAGGTTTGTGTTGTCTGTCATGTTGTCTTCGTGTAGCATTAAATAAGTGTTTTATAGGGGTGAGAGCAAGTTACACCAGTATCATGATCAATGCACGGGTTTAAGTTACTTAATTGGATTTTGATCTTAAAATTATGGATGGTCTGAAAATGAAGAAAGGAGGAAATGTATGTGGTATACAAAGCATATTAAGTGTTTCTTGTGTTTTTAATTTAGGAAAGCGATGTTCACCAATAATTTGCAAAATATTTGTACATGTATGTTTCTGACTATATGTGTATTTTTGACAATAGGACATTAACTGTGGAATGTGACTAACTTCCTTTCACTCTAGCTACCTATTGTTCTTGGTCATTCCTTTATGATGTCCTATTCAGTTTTTTGTGGGAAAGATTTCTGTATAGAAGATGACAATGTAAAGGACGACAGTGATATGTGATATTTTTTTACTGGCAAGTCAAATGATACCTTGAGGATATATATACATATATATAGCCTCTCTCTTATTTTGATATTGGAATTACCATAAGTGCGTACATACTTACAGGAATAGCATTTTAAATCTTTTATATAGTGCTTTACTCTTTTAGTGTGAACAAGTAAAGTTCTTCAGTTTACAAGTAAAGAAACCCCTCTAGTAGAAACACTGTATATCATCTAGTGCACTTGTTTGCCTTTGATTAGGTTTTACTTTGCTTTAAAATTGCATGTGGTCTCTATTCTTTAAACTCAGTTAAACTCTTTGATATATTTCCTGATATTCTACAAGTTGTTATTAACTCTAAAGTTACTAGCATACCTGTGAATACCTCAATTAATAACAAATGTTGCAATATATTCTTTAAAAAAAAAGCAAAGAAATATTCATCTTAAAATTAAAATAAAATTTCTATCAGTAAAAGAAACAATACATGACAGGCTTTAATTAATGCATTTCCATGTTTTTTATGACCTTATATATTGAAAAAAAACAACAACTTTCAGAATAATAAATGTCTTTGATGTTGTTGTTTGCTTATTGCAAAATTACACAATTGGTTATCTTCACTCTGTCCACCATAGAAAATCTAACCTCAGATTACAGCATTGTAAGTCTGTAACTTACATTCCACTGGGGGATAAATGTCTTTGAATAAAAACATTTCTCAACATATCGGTTATCCTAAGGGTAAGTAAAAAATTAACAACCTTATTACAATATCTTTTGGATATAAATGAATGAAGTACACCCTATAATTACTTTCATTGACAGTATTGAATATAATATTTAATCTATCCAGCTTATTATTTTTCGATATTGCATATTTATTATAGAAACTGTTTTGCATTGTTAGTTTAGTAAATGGATTTAGGGCGAACCTAAATCTTCTCAGCTGGCTCAACCTCGTTAGATATTATTGGGTTTATGGCTGAGAATACCGATAACATTGAGGGTACTCAACTCATAAACAATGCATTCTAATCGTTATAAGTAAGAACTTAAATACAATATACTTAATTAGCTACATTCAATACCGGATTGACTTTTAGTTATGATCTAAGTAGGTAGCTTGCTCTGATTGTAAGTTAATATTAAAACAAGGTAATGTCTTTAATATAACGTTTTTCGAATTTTTTGCAAGTGTTTAAGAATGTAATGTTACCTTAAAATGGATCAACTGGCATGAAAGATATACATATATAAGAAAGTCACTATTGTTATGTAGTGATCCAAATATACACAAAATTCAAGCTTATTTTATTCATTGACTTTTTAAATTTGTTTTATAATAATTGGAATTATATTGGTAACTTATCAGATGTATGTAACCATAAACGCACTGTCATTTTGTTTTATGCATCTTAATTTTAAGGATCATACTTTCAATCACTTCACTGTCTTAACGTTTGATTAAACAACTATGAATAATTCAACTTAAAATTAATTTTAATATAAAAAAATAGTTCAACAAATTAGCACACAGTGCCATTTAGTAACATTACAGCTTACCATGCTTAGGTGTGGACACAGAATCTGGAGACTAAATACGAAAAGAAAAAAGAATTGCAAGTATAAAATAATAAGTAGTGTTTTACTATATTATTTAATTTGTGTAAGTACATTGCATACAAACATTTCATCCACAAATTTATGAAATTAAAAAAGAAACATTATGCAATTTAATTCATAAACAGGTAGTTTGTAAGAGCAAAACAATTGCATTCTACAGCAGCTCATGACAGATTAATAAATACAGTTAACTATCAATTTTGATAAGAAGAATTGAAGAAAGAATATATACAATTATAACATACAGCGTAGGAAGTGATTTTAAAATGTTTAAATACATTTTTTTCAATCCATACTTCTCTTGTTTAGACAGGTTTGAAAGATTAGGAACTCAAATCAGTTTTCATGCGAAAGAACAAAAGCGTTGATCTGCTCCATAGATTTCATCAGCACATTGGTGTTTCACTTAAAAAGGCCCCATAAAGCTTTATACATTTTCTTGGATTGGTTTAAATAGCTGTAATCTCAACTGCAGGTGAACTATATTTGTGCTATTTGTGCAGAAATACAGTTCAGGTACTTTAGTTTCAGCACCAAATTACCTTACATTTTTATCATTTCCAATTTCACACGATGTGAGAAAGTTATTAGCAGTTCCTGTAAACTATGTAGTTAATGGCATACATCTATGTTGACCAACTGGCAGCCTTCAGGGTGCATCCGGTGCACAAATCACCAAGGAAAAGTTATAATAAATTGTAAAAATGAGTCTAAAACCAGAGCTTATTTTGAGTGTTTTAACGATTGGTTGTTATCCATTACTGAAGCCATGATATGTTTTCTTCATCAATATATAGTGACCGACTCCTGAGACAGTACTCAGTATACCATGTGGTTGCCATTAGCACAGAGTTGGACAAACCTGATACATGTCATTTGTTTGCTTTGGGTGGACAAAACTACTCAAGGACTATTTGTAGTTATCATTAATTTTGAACTGATTGACAAGAAGAAATGTAGTTAATCGACCCTTATAACGCAAACAAAGCCCCAAAGTGTAGAGCGCCATTTTGAATTGATAATAAACACAAAGTAAGACTAGTATATCAAAAAGAAACGACGTGGCCTAGGTGCTAGCGTTCCTAGCTGTGAATTCTAAGATCTATGTTTCGCTGTAAAAATGCGCTCCACATGCTCTTGAATGACTATTCGACTACAGAAGAGTAGTCTAAGATCTGGCGATTGGTGTTATAGATTAGCTGCTTTCTCTTAGTCTATCAGTTCAAAATTAGGAACGGCTATTTGCAGATAGCCGTTTTGTGGGTCTGAGCAAAAAATTTTAAAACAACAAAACTAAACGAAATGATAAGATTGTGATTTAACTGTATCAGTGATAAGTGTTTGTTTGAAGTTAAGCACAAAGCTACACAATGGGCTATCTGTGCTTTGCCCACCACGGGTATTGAAACTCGATTTCTTGCATTGCAGTGATAAGTAAATAAACAGTTGAAGAAAATAACAGACAAGGAGAAAAAAGGAAACCGGCTATTACTCCTTAAAAGACCAAGGTATTGTGGAACTTTATGTGACCAATCGGAAGCTTTAGCAGTTTCTCAGTATAATTCCCACAAAATATGGGATATAAAAGTATAAAAATATATAAAATTTGAGATCAAAATTAAGTAAACTGCATTTTTTCAAAGTTTTCTGGTTTGTACATTTCGGATCCAAAATCAGAAGAGTGTAAAAACAGCATTTGAGATACACTTTTTATCTCACACAAGTCATTCCCCAAGAGTCCTTTCTTTCATTACCAGAATTCGTAATTTGAGCCCAAGAAAGATACAAAATTTTTGGTATATATTTGTTTTTAATACTTCGACATCTTTCGGCGTTTAAATTGTATGTTAGAGATTTATTTACTGAAATTACAAGATAATTTCAGAAATAAGAAAATAGAGAAAGAAAGCTCCAGAACACGCCCCACTGGTCTTTTAAAAGCTGACCGAATGATTGGTTTACGGTCTGTTCAGTTTAAACTGTTTGTTTTAGTATGATGTGAAAGATATTATGTTATGTCGATTGATTTGAAACCCGACAACAGTGTTAAACAATGGACGACTACAGCGGTTGGGTACATTATATTAATACAATTTTGGTGCCTCACCATGTCGTTACAGTCGATGTCGCCATGTACGATCATGCTTTATCTGACAACCATGCATCTTGACAAATAGCCATCCAGCATAGTTTCCATTGCAAGAAGTTAATATATCCAAAACACGCCATTACTCCCTGTATGGCTTTCCATATCCCATCTAGTGTACGCGGAGGATGGTTTCCCATTGGCCGTTTTAACAGTTCGACCACACAGAAGTACACATCCACTGCTTTTGACCACTTTACCAGCATGTCTTATTAGAGAATAGCATAAATGCTCATTTCATTTCCCAGCTGCTTCAGGTATACGATGGTTGAACAGATACGGAGTTTAAGCTATATTTGTATACACGTGACTTGTGTTACTTTTCCAGAAAGATATCTGTCTTGATTATGTTGTGTGTTGTTGCCTGTGGTATGTGAACGGCTTTTGCCACTGATCTTTGTGTTTGTGGATTCTCAGCTGTTACAAGACGCCACAATTTACTTTCCACAGCTAAGTTACGACTCGTTGCAGGTCTCTTTCCGGATGGTCCTGGTGTCCCAAGTTAATCCACATTCCTTTGCATTCAATGCCATTTTAATGCAAGTGATATCACTGTCTTGGAAATTCTAAATTCTCAATATTAACACCTCCTTAAGATCCGAGTATATGATTATTTTGCGTCGGAAAGAGCTCTTACATACTTTATCAAAAAGCGCTAAATTTTCCGTGTCATCACACTATAATTTACGTAGCGCCAAAGAACGTGGAAATGTGGTTAGTTCTGATTCCTCCTGTTCCACCACGACTTTATACCGACTGTGATTATCACGTGACTTGCTATTTTGAATATATAAAATTGTTTGAATATAGGTACTCAACCTTCTGAAGGTATCTGTACACTATAAATACCGTTTACTTATGAGTCACCAGAGGGAAGGCAACCAGTCAGCAGCGCTCTACTTCTCATAACCACACTAAATGATTGACTATTACTCTCATCCCATATACACAGCTTAAATTGCAGGGAATATTTTATGGAATTCATGGATTTCAAACCCGACTTCTCAACTCTGAAATCCAGAGCTCTACTACATGGCTAACCCTCACCTCTATTGTATGAACCCCTTGCGCAACTGGTTTAATCCACTTGCAAAATTTTATTGACAGGTTTTCAATCGCCTCTTATTGTTGTCATAAGTTCGTAGGACAAGCTTTTAACTGCCTCTTATTATCATCATCAGGTCACTAAATTTATTGCAAGCTTTCAACCGCCTCTTATTTTTGCTACCTCTTACTGTTGGATCGGGTCACTACACTTTACTGTAAGCCCTTAACCATTCTTACTGTTGCATCAGGTCTCTAAAGTTTACTGCAAGCTTTCAACCGCCTCTTATTTTTGCATCAGGTCACTAAACACTACCTAAACCTTTCGGCTACCTTTTACTGTTGCATCGGGTCACTACACTTTAAGGTAAGCCCGTAACCATTCTTACTGTTGCATCAGGTCTCTAAAGTTTACTACAAGCTTTCAACCATCTCTTATTGTTGCATCAGGTCACTAAGCATTACTTCAAGCTTTCAGCTACCTTTTACTGTTGTGTCAAGTCCCTAAACTTTACTGCAAGCCCTGACCGCTTCTTATTGTTGCACAAGGTCTCTAAAGTTTGCTGCAAGCTTTCAACACCCTCTTATTGTTGCATTAGGGTACAAAACTTACTGCAAGCTTTCAACCGCCGCTTATTATTGCATCAGATCGTTAAACTTTAATGATAGTCTTGAAATATTGTTATGGTCATCGTTAGATCACGAAACCTTATTGACCAACTTCCAACTTTCTCTTTGTACCTATTAAGTTTGAACACGAATAAAACTTGTTTCATGTATATTACACTCATGTTGTTAAGAATGATATTTCAAGATTAAATTATTACCAAGTTGCTCATTCAAGCTTTAAGATCACCGCATATACTTTTTCTTTTTACTGAAGCGAGGTTGTCAATTAATCCTGAGTATTTTAAAAAACACAATCAGTAGTCTTCTTCAAAAATATTAAAAATGTTGAATGCCAACACGTTTATTCGAAAGGTAAACAGTACTTAAGAGTATAATGCAAATTTAATGCTTGAACTACTATTTTGCACTTTTCTAGTTGAATGATCATTACCGCTGTAATGCAAGTTTAATTTCTTTAGCCAAGTTACGAATGGTAATTAGTAGGCCTACTTATCTTCGTGCTCTAACCGTAACAGTGTTTTCGCGAAATATCCGGGTTCCCTAAGGGGTTAGGTGAAAATTTTTACCTTTGTGCAAATCTCGGGGCCGAGAAGATTCGTTTGGCGCCATTTTAAAAGTCGGTGCGACCAGCGGCTTAGGAGGAATTACGTGACACACACATACACAGATAATGAATCTTATTATATAGATATCTCAATACATAATCTGTGTGTTAAACATGCACATAAAAACGGTTTAACACTCAACGATGTTCGTAAAGGGTTCTTTTTCACTTTATTTTTACTTTTGTTCTATTGAAAAGTAACAATGACGAAAGTGGGTGTGTAATAGACGTGACGTCATAGCAGTGAACACAACTGCTTAGGTCGTGAGTCTTGCATTGATAGGAGCAGTTACCACGACTACGAAAGGGTTTGAGGAAGTCACAGTTTTTTCTTTTCTTAACGCTAATAAGTTACATATCTGCACCCCTTAAAGATGGAGTAAAATACTTATCTGATAAGTTTTAATTTATAAATCAAGCATTGAAAATTAGATTGATATAACAATCAGATTAATGAACATTAACAGCAACAATTTGTAGTGTCTCACATGTAGGACAGACAAACAAAGTTGAGGTACGAACTACGGAGTGAGAACGGTATCTTTGA